AAAATGTTCCCATCATGTGGAGATCCAACAATTGCAATCCAGTTTACACATACAGTACACCAGCTTTCTTCTTTTTTCTTGAATTGTTCAGTATGTTCTTGTGGTCTGGTATGAATACTATTTGTAGAATTTACTGTGGACCACAGGATGTTTTTTTTTTTTCTTTTTTAATGTGGTATTTGTTAAAAGGGGGGTGAAATAAAGCTGTATGTATGTGACACAACTTTCAGTGAAGTTACGTTTTATCAAGTTGCTTCATATTTTGGCAGAGAAGGTCTTACTTTGTGAGAAATTTCCAAAAAAAAAACTATATTGAACATACTGAAGACAGCAAAAGTTTCAGTTACTTTCCGTTAGTTACCAATAAATGAAATTACAGAAGTATATAATAAACTATTCCACAGTAAAGCCCATCATTAGAAATCTCTTAATTTCATTTGAATAACAAGAGCAGATTTCTCTAGGTAACACAGAACATTTATTTTAATTTAATTAATCGTATAAATATTTGATTGACTTAGTTTTATTTTCATTTAGGCAGATATGGTCTTATGTGAGAAATTCAGAAAATCATTTTAATGTCCTTTGTGAGAAATTTAGACACAGGGATGAAATGCCCAAAAAATTACATATTCAATACTAATGTCAAATAAAAAAGCAAGGTCTTATTCACTGTAAAAATCATTTAAAAACAGATACCATACACAGTAAAGTGCAGTACATTATTCTACAATAAATTAAACTGTAAAACCTCCAAGCTTTAGTGAGAAATTATCATATAAATACCTTTGCACTTCACTATTTGATGGTAGCTGCAGATGGATTGGACAATCCAATTCAATAGTGTATGAGTTGCAAGTATGTTGTAATTTAAAATGTTTTTTTAAGGTAAAACTGATGAAGTTTTTTGACTCAGTTTATTTGTGTATTTTGAAAAAAAAAAAAAACTGAGAAATTTGGACACCTAATTTTAAATTCAGGAATGGAAAGAAAAATCTTTTTGATATGGTGTCAAATAATAAAAACTATAAATAAACATGTTCTGTCCTCATTGCAGAAGCAAGCTGTTATTTGCAATATAACTGGAGAGCAATGCATCTGAACACGCTTCAAACTGATTTATGTTTTTACTTCCATTTACACAAGAGGTATTTAAAGGAAGAGAGCTGATCTAATGGAACATGAAGCTGTAAGTGATCTTCATTAGAAATCTGTGTTTGAATGCAAAGCGAGAGCACTGAAGCTAAATGAGTACAAAGTCCTTGTTTGCTGCAGGAAGACAGACCATCACATCTTTACCTAGTTGAATACAGGCACATTGTAATTGTGATTGTTACGTCTAATTTAGTTCATCTGGATGTAGAATATAAGCTTTTTGTATTTGAACAACCGACAACGTACTTAACATCTTCCCACAACCAACAACATCTGATGGAGACGGGGATCTTGTTTGTCAGATGAGATGTTTATTTAATAATTCAACAGTGTGTGTTTTTTCTCCCAGTGGAGATAACAATTTACACATCCTTTAAAGTGTTTCCTATTAACAGAATATATTTACACTTTTACAAATGTTTTTTTCACATAATCTGTAAAACACATCATGAACGGATTATATCATAGCAAACAGGGTCACTCCATTTAAACACACTGTTTTAATTTGTGTTAAAAAGTTGAACATAATGTTCAATTTGTCAGTGCAGCAGCCTTCAGATTAAAGCCATGATTGCACCTATTTCAGGTTAAAGACTCCCAACAAACGAATGCAAAATCAGTCTGTTTTCCATCATTCTGCTCATTAAATATTCAGACTGAGCAAAGAAAGATTGTTCTCCTCTAAGAAGCTCCGGTGTCAACAGTACACCAAGAGATAGGTCAAAATGTTACTGATTCACAAGAAGTCCTGATAAATTTACTGTTGGTGTTTTTTGCACTGCAGCACATTAACTCATTAATGTGACACACACATCTTTTTAGGTCAAGATCGTATTTCACCGGTTTTCTAATCTCTCTGTACAACCACATCTACAGTTTATGTGCACACGGATATAAATACATCACACTCAGGGCCATGCCGCTGTCACAGAGCTATAAACGTGGCTACTGCAAAGCTCTGACTATATTACAGTGAGAGTGGGTTCACAGGTAGATGGTTTACCCTCATATCATGCCGTTAACTGGAGAAAAGCCAGGCACCAAAAAATCTTAAGAATCATAAGCAAGGATTACCGATATTAAAGGTAGGTTAAGGACAACATTTTTGGATATATGATTATTCAGTTTCTTGCTGAGAATAGGAATAAGATTGATACCACTCTGTCTGTACGTAAAATATGAAGCTACAGCCAGCAGCTAGTTGCATAAAGACTGTAAACAGGGGAAACAGCTAGTCTGATTCTGTCCTGAGGCTCCTATGAAGCTCACTAATTATAATGTGCCGGACTATTTCTTGGCCAGGTCGCTCCAAGAAATAGTCTGGCTCATAACACCCCAGTAAAACCGTTTCTTTCATATCTGTCCGGTAAATATGAAGCTTGAAGCCAGTTAGCTTAGCTTAGCATAAAGCCTGGAAAAGGGGAAACAGCTAGCCCGCCTCTGTCCATTTCACCTAGCAGCTCCTCTAAGGCTCACTAATTAACATGCTTGTTGATTAGCTGGTTAGCAATATCACAGTGACGACTCCAGGAAGTCACTGCTACTGGCCAAGATATACTCACATCGCCTTAAGTAAAATTCCAAATTCTTCTTTTTACAGTTTTTGTACAGACAACTCATGTTGTTGACCAAAAGGTTTCCCAAAAGTAACGTAAAGCTAGAGCTGTTTTTATACTTATGGATTAAACACTTAAAACAGGATAATTAGTGAGCTTTAAAGGGGCTGGTAGGCTAATCGTGTTATCTTTACTGTTTTGTTTGTTTCCATTCCTAAGCTAAGCTAACTGGCTGCTAGCTCCATGTTAATATTTACCGTACAGACATGAGAGCGGTATCAATCTTCTCAGCTTACTCTTGGCAAGAATGCTCATAATCTTCCCCCCAAAAAAACTATATATTTTTTTTATACTACTGCAAACACAGCCAGGGTACCAAAACACGGAGGCACAAACAACTAAATTCACTTCTGAAGTCGCTGCCTGTGCTCGGTGGCTGTGAGTGATTTCCACTGATAATAAAAAAGAAATCCTGCGTGGGGAGTACAGCCCTGCTATGAAACATCACTCAGCCGGCCTTTAATATGAGAGCTGTATAATCACATTGTCACTGCAGTCACATTAATAGGGATGCATGTAAATCGCATGATACAAAACCTGCACAGCAGCAGCTGGAAGGACATCGGATATATTTGTGCATTGCTGCTGTGGGATATTACAGACAGGTATTATAGCTACCATTATGCATTTATATTATGATATGTATCCAAACAACAGCAAAGTGTGATCTTTATATACTGTTCAATAAAGCAACCTTTGATGTCATGTTCAGGCAAATCCCTGTATACTACTTAGCTGATTTATGAAACATCCCTCTGGTAGCATATTACCATTGCCTATGCTCAGTTATTAATGCTCAAAGCTCCCTCACGGTTACACACATCACAGTGTTATGAGGTTTAAAGGAAGTATAATGTTATTGCACTCTCACTGACAACTCCAGGGATGTAGACGGGAAGCTTTAAATTACGCCAGGTGTGCATGAAACCCCCGAGAGATTATGAGTAATGGACTGATAATCATAGCGTGTAACAGAATAATATGTGATTGCAAATGGAGGGCGCATAAAGCTCAACAACAGGCAATCAAGAGGCCACGTGATGCCTTTTGCTGCAGAGACAGTTCGGCAACTTAAGTAAGTCACAAGATTCTGAGTTTAATGGAATGAAGCAGCTCACAGGGACGTCGCTCTGATGTGGACTGACGCTCCAGGATTAACTGTTGTGAGATATTTGAGCTCAGGCCTTGGTAGGAACATGCACACATCTATCATTATGATGAAAGACCAGCTGCCTCTGAAAACGTGTGTCATGCTCATATCTTGAGGTTAAGGTTCAAGCTGTCAAGAAAGGCAAATAAAAAGGTAAAAGAAACACCCAGGAAGAGAACAAATTCTTACCAGGGATGAGCCTTTCAGTGCTACATTAGTGTTATTACTTGTGAAAATACACCTCGTTCGCTAAGTGCTTCATTTATAACATCGCCTCGAGCATGCAAAAAAATGTCGGTGTAGGATGTTTACAGTAAGTGTCGTAGTAACTTAAGGACATGTTACCTCTTTTCCACCAAGGCAGTTTGAGCGGTGGTTCGGAGCCGGCGCCTAATCTTGAACCAGTTCTTTGCATTTCGACACCCAAAAAACGGGCCCAGGAGTGGTTCCAGTGGGGCACCAACACCAAGAACTGCTTACACCAGGGGTTGGGGGGCAGTCAGCTATGTATTTATTAGCTCTAGCTAGCTAGTAATTTCTCACATTAATGTTACGAATATATATAATATTTAGCTTGATGGCCGTTGGTCAGCTACTAATGTCTCACATCATTGGTACAAACATAACATAGATGTTACGAGCATAATATGTTAGCTAACATTACCCAAGCAAGCACTAATTTCTTTCATTCGTAACATCAATGTTTCATTCGTAACATTGTTTGTAACTTTAATGTTACATTCAAGGTTAGTAACATTGCTTCAGTAATGTTAGCTGACCAACAGCTAACGTTGGAGACGTATACAGTGATGTAATGACGTGGCTCTATGGTGGCCATGGAAAAGCAAACCAGGTCTTAAAAGGTTTTTAAGTTAAACCAAGTCTGAACCGAGACTAGCACCAGCCCAGAACTAGCCGTAGGTTTGCACTGGTGGAAATGGAGGTATGTGAGAATTAAGAAAGCTTTGGTGATCTGACGGCTGTGATGTATAATGCACAGGCGGATAAATGGTGACATCATGCGCATAGCCAATGATGCTATTTGTCCATTGAACAAAACCCTTAAAAAATGACTTCAAATCACTCAGTAAATATGCACACAGGTTCTATATATGTATCAAATGTCTCTTTCGTTAACGTTATTTCCTTTGTTGTTGAGAGTTAGATGAGAAGATCAATACCACTCTCATGTCTGTCTGTTAAGTATGAACCTATAACCAAGAGACGGTTAGCTTAGCTTAGCATAAAGACTGGAAACGGGGGAAAACAACTAGCCGGGCTTCGTCCAAAGGTAATAAAATCTGCCTCTTGTTAGTTTAATCCGTACAAAAAACCCTATTTGTGGTTAGACATAAACAAACGAGGTATAACGAGTTAATTAGAGGTGCTTGTAGGCAGATTTTGTTACCTTCAGACAGAACCAAACTAGTTTTGACTCGTTATGCTAAACTAAGCTAACCAGCCAATGGCATCAGCATCTACCTTACAGCCATGAGAGTGCAAATTATTGTATTTCCCAATTCTTCTCCTCCCTTCTTTCACATCTGTTCTTTTAGCTCATGACTTGTTGTGCTGTTGTTGACTAAAGCTAGTATCAGTTTTGCTTCATTGTAAGCCTGTGGATAAAGATGATTTTAGTGCTTCTGGGAAGCTGGGCGCCGGCATCCATTAGTTTGTCTCCACTAGCCAGACTGTAGCTGCGCCACGCTCAGACTGGCTGAAAGCCAACATGTCCTCTGATTTTACAAAAAGGCCTAAATAAGGCCGCACCACAGCTGAGCCAGCAGTGTTTCTCAGCCTACATGACCACAAAGTTACGGGAAATTATTCTTGTTATTTCACTGTAGTGCAGAAAGAGAGTCTTTATTCAATAAATGTACTTTTATAAAAGAACAAAATCGACCAAATACACTTAAGATTTTGCTATTCTTTGACTAGATGTTAAAATCAGAAGAGATGCCGACCAAAACCGCACCACATACCACAGCCAGCTGGAGCCAGGCTGCACTGAGCTAGTGGAGACGACGCATATTATTCATCCTTGGCGACCGTGTTATGATGTCCATCCTGCGGTGAAACCCTCTGCAGTACCAACAGCCCAGAGAAGGTCAGGGAGATCCCAACCCACCACAACGTTATCTGGGCTTCACCAAAGATCAGCTGCCCCAGGAAAGCCTGCGGGCGGAGGGGGGGATAATCAGGGTTTCTTCTTAGTCAAAGTAAATCAGGCTCTTTAATTCAATTTAAATAACAGCCAATAAGAAAGCCTCGGTGGGACATGTCGAACAAGGAGTTGAACTTTGACAAGAAAGAAGCCTAAACCCCTGCGACAAGTTATTTCTGAATATAGTCCAGCCTATTTTCTAAAATAAACCCAGCATATATCAGGAAGAAAGGATGTAAGGTCACTCTGAAATTAACTTACACTCCACACCACAGTCTCATGTGAAGTATTTAGTAGAGAGACTACAAAGAACAGAGCGAAGGAGGTTCTGTAAGAAGAAAGGCTGATACTTACGGAAGATATGAAGTTGGAGGCGGTGGTGGTCACAGTGGTTCGGGTGGAGGAAGAGGAGTACCTGAGTGCTTTGGCAAGGAAGGTCCACATCACAGCATTGCAGGTGAAAAGCAGCCCGCCACACAGCAGCCTCAGAGGGATATGGAGCTGAAAAACAAAAACAGAAAGGTATTATATTTCCTTAGTGAATAGAATAGTAGGATAAGCATATACAGTACTTTATTTGATCCATCCCTGGACACTCCCAGCTCCACTCATTTATCCATGTTAATTTCCTCCACTGAATGAAGGAAATATAAAACAAACTGATTTCTGATCATAAAATTAAGATGCATAACAGATTAAACGCATCTCACATCTACTGCTGGCACCTCTGCTCTCCTTTACTCACGTTCTTTCTTGTCCCTCTCTCTCTTTTTTTCCCACAAGCTTTCCTTCATCCCCCCCACCGCCAATTTTCTCTTTCACTCCTCCCTTTCTTCTCTCTTCCTCACCCCTAAAAGACTCTGGGCCTTCATTCAGGGCTGGAGCCACAAAAGCCAACCCCCCCTCCCGGAGTAGAAGTATAAAGTACAAATAGGCCTACTTCAAAATCTGACTTAAATGCAGTGAGTACATTTACTCAGTTACAATCAACCACAGCAAATATCACATTTATCAGTGTTAATAATTAACCAGTGCGTTATATGGTGGAGGATTCCTGTTATTTGGTAATTGGACTGTACTTGTATAAAGCCTTTCTACCCTTCCGACCACTCAAAGCGCTTTAACACTACATAGGCTACCACATTCACCCATTAACACACTCTGATGGCAAACACAAACTAACTCAGTCACTCACATTCATAGCATTTTGGGGGTTCAGTATCTTGCTCAAGGACACTTCGACAAGCAGTGGGAGGAGCCAGGGATCAAACCACCAACCTCCTGAACCACATCTGCTGTATGTGTGAAGACGCATTCAGTCCTCATGGTGAATATTAACAGCATTTGTCTGCATCCACCTGCACACCTTATTTGCTATTTGTAAACACCCCTCACGTTGAAAAAGTCACTATTTGACGTCTCCACTGGTTCAAGGCTACAAACAGCTGCCTGCAGATGTTTCTGACATCACCGTGTGACGCGTGCAGGAGAGCGTGAAGGTCACACAAGAAACCTATTTGTTCAGAAAAACCCAGCCTTCCTCCGCGCCATCAACCACCACCACGCTGAGACACAAAATAACGCGATAACACACATTCACACACTCGCGCACTACGAGCTGCAATGTCATTAAGCACGCGGACACGGCACGAGAGCGCAGCTGCTGCATGGGCTGCCCCCGTGCGATGCTGCTGATGCTGCTGATGGTGCTGATGCTGAGGGAGTCAGGGAGGGGAGGGGAGGCGGGGATAACCCCCCAACTTCCTCTGTGAGAAATCACCCCGCTTGCAGGCATGCACGTCTGCATTATTCACGGCCGTCCGCGCTGTTTTAATAATTAACGCAACTTCAACTGCGGCGATGCCTCACCCGGTCACAGGCGGTAGTTTCGTCCGCCTGTCTAAATTTCCGCTGCTCTCCCCACGTCCGGAGTCCGGTTTCACAGACTCCCTTCAGGTAGTCGGCTCCGAGGGACAGTTTGGCCGAAGACGACGCCACGGCCCCGAGGAAACCCGCCAGCAGTGCATAGAAAACTCCCGGAAACATGTTGATGAAGAGGCACATAATTTTCTAATCCATCTCTACATCTCCGCCGCTGCCGCCGCCGCTGGTCCGGGTCGAGCCGCCTGCATGGTGGTGCTGTGTGTGTCACTGTGTGGCACGTTTTCCTGCACTTTCTACAGACAGCCGTCCGGTGGCAGTCATACAGCACATGGTCAACCCGGAGCAGAGCTGTGGTTGGACTAAAAAAAAAAAAAAAAAGCCCTATGTGGCATTCTGGGAAATGTAGTTCCACAATTCCATAACCTTAACTGAATGAATGATGACTTTGGCGCAGCAGTGAGGTGTCTCCAAAAACATGCTGGGATCCTTTTAAAAGACATTATAGAGTTCTAATCCGATATTTTGATTAGAGTGATTAAGCAGGAGTCTCATTATTAATAGTGAGCTGAAGTCTCCTGCTATTCCTCAGTGCTTTTAATATTAGGAGAAGTATAGAGGACAATCAATGCTAATGTAATGTCCTTGAGTGTGGGCGGACAGCAAAGTATGACTCCAGTTGATCCAGACTGCTTTGGAGGGACCCCAGCTCCCTTCCAGCATACTGATGAGCTGCATTATAAAGGCTCATTACGTTAAAACACACTGGGTATAGGTGCTGGGATGGGAGGAGGGTGTGTGTGTGTAGGTGGTCAAACATATACACACTCACATGAACTCCTCCTCTGTGCCCTTTACAAAGAGACGAGCCGCCTGTCAGAGACCAGAACCAGACTGAACTATTCTCCTAATTAGGAACAGAAAGCACAGTCATCGTCATGAATGTATGGGTTTGTAATGACTGTATTAATCTGAGCGTTTGTAATAAAGACAGGAGTCATCAAGAGACAGGCGTCCATCTGTTTCATCAGACTAGGCTGCTTAACATTTAGCTCAAAGATGGAGGGAGAGTGAAGAAAGATGATGTCCGTGTTGAAATGGACTGAAAGACTACTTCCACAGTCAGTGCAGACATCTGGAAGTGTGATTTTTGCTCTTACTAAGTGATTGATTGCACAAACTGACACTAAATGTGCTCCTATTTTACAGTCTACACTACTATTAGATAGCCTTAAGGGAATGTGAGATGAAAATACAGTATCTTTAGAGAAATGTGGTCTTTCAACTTTCTTGTCCATTTGAAGAAGTTTAAATTTTATGTAGATATTATGCAGACGACGAGCTGCAGTGTCTGTTGATAAAAATGGCTCATGACAGTATATACACTGAACAGCCGTAACATTATGACCACCTGGGCACCCTGGTGGTCATAATGTTATGCAGCAACATACCAACAAACTGTGATGCACTGTGTTCTGACACCTTTCTATCAGAACCAGGATTTACTTTTTCAGCTATTTGAGCTACAGCCCTTTTCAAAGTCACTCAAATCCTCACAC